AATGTAGAATCTGCAAAACACCACATAACGTGGATGAACTTGGAGGACATTATGCTGAGTGAAATAAGTCAATCACAAAAGGACAAATATTGTATTAGATCCTCATCCTATATGACTATGATACCAGAAGAACTAGATGGTGCCCAGCTACCACTCTCAACCACTCAGAGGGGGATCTATATACATAGGGTCACTATGATTGGAGCCGACTTGATGGCACCTAACAATAACAACTATATTCAGTGTGTGCATTACAGTATTAGTTATGGAATATTGTATAAGATCTAGATTTTATTATGATCATGACATAATGAATTTTGTTAGTCCCTCACTCTCACTCACTGCCATCAAGTCTATTCGACTCATAGTACCCCTCCTTGGGTTTCCAACGTGGTATCACTATGGAAGTAGATTGCCCAACCTTCCTTCCAAGGAGTGGCTGGTGGGTTTGAACCACCAGCCTTCTGGTTAGCAGTCAAATGCCTTAGTTGCTATGCCACCAGAGCTCCCTGGGAGGCACAAATTGTTATGCACTAGACTACTAACTGAAAGGATATCAGTTCAAATCCACCCAAAGGAACCTGGGAAGTAAGGCCTAGCAGTCTGCTTCTGAAAGATCACAGCCTTGAAAACCCTACGGAGTGCAGTTCTTTACTCTGTACACATGGGACCACCATGTGTCAGAATTGGCTTAAGGGCAACTAACAATAAAAATTCTTGAATGCTATATAAACATAGAACCATCTACTAAATGGCAGGTGAAATCCTAGTAAAATCATTCTGTGTCGAAAAATCATTGTTCCACATCCTACTTTGGTGCGTAGTGATTGCATCTTAAAAGCTTGCAAGTGGCCATCTAGATGTAACAATAGGTCTCTCCTTGTCCAGAGCAAGGAAGAATAAAGAAAACCAAAGACAATGGAAATGATTAGTCCAAGGGACTGGTACACCATGCGATCCTCAGCCTATATGAATATGAGATCAGAACTAGATGGTAACCAGTTACCACTGTCAACCACTCAAAGGGGGATCTATGTATGGGATCCCAGATAGAGTTGGAGAAAAATGTGGAACAAAACTCAAAGTCATTAAAAAAAAAGAGAGGGGAGAGGGAAGCTTTGCTGGTCTGATAGAGCCTGGTGGAACCCCTGAGACTATGGCCTCTAGCTGCCCTTCAGTCTGGAATTGTACCCACTCCTGTGGCTTCTAGCCAAACAAAAGACAGCCATATGACCTGAACATTTATTTTAAGTAGATACACTCCTTGGAGAGATCAATCATGGAAGAATAGAAGGGCTGTGTATGCACAGGGAGACAGCTGGGGTTGGGGGCAGGAGTTCATGGGAGGGAAGGACACAGGGAAGAGGTAACTATGGGGAGGAAGTGGGAGGAGAGCTGTTGCGTTGTGGGAAATTACAGTCAATATCATGAGATAAAGTATATGTGAACTGCTGTATTGAAAATGAATTTTCTCTGTAAACTTTTACCCAAATCACAATTAAAAAAAAAATCTGTGTTGATAGAGTCTACCTGTGTTCAGTTACAATAAGGGAAGAAGTGATTTTAAAAGCTAGTTACACTACTTTAGAGTGAGAAGGACCTTAGTAAGTCTTTTTGGTAACACCTTATTGTACAAATGAAAATCTTGAGTCTTTACAGTCAGAGGTGGATTTACCAAGAAGCTGACTCCCTGGGTGATACAAATGGTTAACATGCTTGGCTGCCAGCCAAAAGGTTGGTGGTTTGGTCCCACTCAGGGGTGCCTCGGAAAAAAAGTCTGGTGATCTGTTTCTAAAACTTCAGCTATTGAAAACCCTCCACAGCATCTGGATAATGAAGTTTAACATCCGGGGTCCTTCCTTTGCCTAGGGCCCTGTGAGTGGCTAGGATTTTCAGGGAGTTATGTAGTGTTCTGGCTGGGACTGAGGAGCAAAGGGCGAGGTATTATCTGAGGAGGGAACTAGTGGAGTGAGATGTGATTCTGGCATTCTGTGTCCTGGGCTCCTCCAGCTTCATCCACTTGAAACTGACTTGGCCTGGATTTGGCCTTCCCTATCAGTATTGGCTGTACCTAAAGCACTTGACTGCTAACCAGAAGGCTGGCGGTTCAAACCCACTAGCCACTCCTTGGAAGGAAGGTTGGGCAATGCAGTTCTGTAGTGATACAGCCTCGGAAACCCAAGGATGTGTCGCTATGAGTTGGGTCCAACTCGACAGCACATAAGAAAAACAACTTACAGGAGAAGTAGTACACAGGCCAAAATAAAATGTGTAAAGCACAGTTATTTGCAAAGGAAAACAGTAAACCAGGTTATAGATTCTGTCAGTAGCAGAAATTGTAATTTAATATTAGCCAAATGGGTATGGAAAAAGAAACTCATATTATGAAACAGTAACAAGAAACCACCATGAGGAGCATTATTTGATTCCTGAGAACTCCTGGCCCAGAGGCATGTGATGTGCAGCAGAAGAAAGGGCAGCACTCCTCAGCTCCTTTCCTATTTTAGCCACTCACAGCCATGCCAGTGAGGTCCTCAAAGGTTCACCTGTTTCCTGACGTTTCTCTCTATAGTTCCTCAGTGACTAATGTTAGAGAAGGGACTTGGTAGTGGTAGCTCCAGGGGATTTTGTAAGGTTAAAATCCTCATTTCCCCTTTCCCCACTAATGTATTTTATAGCTGCTTTAAGTGTTGCACAGGTGCTAATCTAGAAGCATCATTAGAAAACACAATTCCCTACACAAGGAAGACGGGGCAATCCACTTCCATAGAGATTCTCTCTCAGAAACCCAAGGAGGGGTAGCTATGAGTCGGAATCGACTCGATGGCAGTGAGTTTGGTTTTTTGGTTTACACAAGATTTTAGGAAATATGGCAAAGGTGATTAATTATTTCACATTTTCTGGAAATTATAATACAGTTGCTAGAAACAAGTGTCATATTAAAAAGACAAGCTGGACCTTCAGTGTCAATTATGAAGAACAGTAAAAATACTTCTCATACAAAGAATATTTTGTCCAAAATCACAGAAAATTTTGCCCAAAGAGATATTTTCAAAGCACCATTGTGTTAATGGAGACATCAAAGAGACATTTCTAATAATTATGTAACCTACTTATACTACCATTGGGGGTTAGTAGATATAATATAGATATATTCCTAACATAGGAGCTCTGGTAGGTAGAGCTCTGGTGGCATATAGGAGCTCTGGTGGTGTAGTGCCTAAGGCATTTGACTGTTAACCAGAGGGCTGGCAGTTCAAACCCACCAGCCACTCCTTGGAAGGAAGGTTGGGCAATCTACTTCCTTAGTGATATCGCTTCGGAAACCCCAGGAGGGGTCGCTATGAGTCAGATCCAACTCGACAGCAGTGAGTTTGGTTGTTTTTTTTTTTTTGGTAGGTAGATGTTACATATATATACATACATACATATACACACACACATATATATGTATATATATATATATATATATATGTGTGTGTGTATATGTATGTATGTATGTTATAGTTTTGTTGTTGTTATTTGCCATAGTGTCAGATCCGACTCATAGCGACCCTTCCTTGGGTTTCCAAGGCAGTAGCACTACGGAAGTAGATGGCCCAACCTGCCTTCCCAGGAGTGGCTGGTGGATTAGAACCGCTATCTATACGTGTGTGTGTGTGTGTGTGTATAATTTGTTTCTCCCTTATATGAAGTTCTTTGTGGACTCTGTCCCTAAGTAGAGTAACTTCTACCTCTTTGAATTGTTGCCTTTTGGTAAACCCAGTTCTTTAGACAATTGCAATGATCCCAGCCATAAGGGAGGAAGGATCTCTAAGATGCTGAGATAGTAGTCACAAAGCCCATGCACTTGATGTCATAAAAGGGATGCTCAGGACAAATTAACGTCAAGAAAGGAGAAAGGGAGAGGAATCATTAGATTAAAGGACCTTTAACAGATATATCCATCAAATGCAAAATGAAGATCTAGTTTCAATCTTCCATTGAATAAACCAATTGTTAAAAAGTTATGAGACTATTGGGGAAATTTGAAGATAGACTGTATGTTTGATGATATTAGCAAATTAGTTAAATTTAAGTGGGATAATGAGACTTTGCTTATGTTTTTACATCGGACTTTTACTTCTAAATAATCTATTGGGGAAAGCAGAAGGGGAAATAGATGAAACAAGATTTTCCATGAGGAGTTCATTCTTCCGTTCTCTCTACTTTTGTGTAAATTTGAAATTGTTCATTTTAAATTTGGCCTTTGTATTATAAAATAGTTTAAAGCAATAATATATTCATCCTATAACATTCCAAATAACTCTAGAAGGTATGCAATGAAAAGTAAGTTGCCCTCCCACATCAGAATCCTACCTCCCCTATCCTCACACCAAGAGGCAACACCGTAATCATTATCTTATGTATCAGCCCACAAAATACATATGGATATACAAACATAAACGTCATACACCCACAAACATCCCTCCACCTTGGTGTATACCTAACTAGGTATACCTTATACATTGGTCTTTACTTTGTTTTTCCCATTTTTAATTAGTCTTTCATGGACAAGTGGATGAATAAAGTAATATTGTTACAGTGCTTTGTTTATGAGCCTTTTTTCTTAGGCTTTGAGGCTCTCCTGAGACTTGTGACTAATGGGCCATTTCATTTCTTCTTGTCCCCAGTTTGTCAGGATGTCCCAGAGCCACATCAGCAATGAAGAAAGCAAAGCTGTCTGGAGAGCAGATGCTAACCATCAAACAGCGGGCCAGTAACGGTAACCACAGCTTCTTCACATTTTTCATTTTAACTGCAGATCAGAAGTAAGCCCACAATTATGTAACATAACCTCAGTTCTTGTATTCTTTAATTATACCAAGACTGAGGACAGTTATGTTTGACTTTTCTTAGAAAGCAGAAGGAGAAATCATTCTGGTCATATCTATAAATCTAATCAACTCAATCTTTGGAACTCCATCTTTCCCAAAGTCTTCTGCTAGACTTTAAGACTCACCAGAACCACACACCTAAAGTCAGAAGAGCCTCTGGCATTAGGTAACTTGTCTCCAAGTATCTCTGGACAGACACCACTTCCTTTGCTTCTTCTTGGCTCAGGTCCTCAGGCCCCCTACCTCTGTGCTTAATTCTTAACTGCTGTTGTTAGGTGCTGTGGAGTCAGATCTAACTCATGTGACCTCATGTATAATAGAAACAGTGCCCTGTCAAGCACCATCTTTATAATGTTTGCTATGTTTGAGCCTGCTGTTGTGCCTGTTGTGTCAATCATCTCACTGAGGGTTTCCCTCTTTGTCACTGACCCTCTACTTTACCATTCATGATGTTCTTTTCTAGCAATTGGTCTTTGCTGATGACATATGCAGAGAAAGTGAGTCGAAGTCTCATCATCCTCACTTCCAAGGAGCATTCTGAGTTTCTCAACTAGATGTGTAGTGTAAGAGCAACACTCAACTGCACAACAGTAAAAGAATGGCAACACCAATCCTCTCTTTCCTTTCTTCTCTCCTTTTACTCTCAGCATGTCCTGCTACCTGAAAGATTTTCTTGAATCTATCTGCATAGTGCCTAAGGCACTTGACTGCTAAGCAGAAGGCTGGCAGTTCAAACCCACCAGCCACTCCTTGGAAGGAAGGTTGGGCAATCCTACTTCCATAGTGATACTGCCTTGGAAACCCAAGGAGGGGTCGCTATGAGTCGGGGCAACTCGATGGCAAATAACAACAACAACAACAACATCTGCAAGGCACATTTCCCACCAAGTGTCTCTGTTGCTATCAGCCTGCCTTAGTGTGTATAAAGTGAAATAAAGAAACATCACAGAGACTTCAGGAGAAGCATGAAGGAATAAGGAAAGCTGCATAAGTTCTGTTCCTCTCATATTGACTCTATTTCCCTTAGAAACATTTTAACTTGCAATTATTCGGCAAACATGTCACCCTTTTAGAGTAAAAGTTCAACCTTCACTTCTACCCCTCTAAGGAAGATTGTAATGAAGGATAGTAATTAAGGGAAGTTGGACTCACCATGTGTCTTACTGAAAACACTAGACTGATGCTTCATTAGAAATTAAAACAAAAGATATAATTGAAGGGATAATTACATTTCATGACATAGGTTATACAGCATCCTACAAGAAGATGAAATGTGTTACCTCCCTTGCAGGGAAAGCAGTGGGTTTTCATTTCCTAAAGCAAACAAATATAAACAGTTTCTCATCAGAAGGAACTGGTAGGGGGGGGATGGCGGGTGTTTACAGGCTGTCAAACAACAAATTTCCTTAATATCAATGCTTAGCTTAACACTAATTCTTTATCTCCTGATACAGCCTGACCAAGGTAGCATTTCTAAAGCACCTTATGAAATATTTTAATGTGGGAGTCTTTTGAATGATTATAGACCAGGTAAATTCCAGTTGAAGTTTTTAAAATATAAAAATTGATTCATTTGGCTAAGAAGTGAAGGTTGATACTCTGAAACCTTTGAAATGTAAATATTGCCTGTAAGGCCACAGTAAGGAGAAAAGGACGCACAAAAGTGAGGTTAAAGAGAAGTTTTTATTCTGAGTTTCCGGGGGAAGTTTACGGCCCCCGAGAGGGGCCCGGGCGAGGTTCACGGGTCCCTGAGAGGGGCCCGGGAAGTCGCACCACCTGGCTGGGGAGGGGAGGGTTTATAGTCTT